TCGCCTTTGTCATCAACGACAAGCAGGTCTTTGAAATGAAGCTCAATTACGATGCTGGGAATCGAATTGCGGAGAGTCGAGTGACTGTTGGGCGGTCTACGAGGCAGGAACAGTTGGGATACGATGCTGATGGGCATTTGCGTTTTGTGAAGGGCCGGCGGTCATTTGAGTACTCGTACGATGCTAATGGCAATTGCGTGAGGATCGCTGAGGAAGGAGAGACTTGGATGCTGAGTTATGACAAGGCGGATCGGCTCACTGACTTTGGCGAACACGTTTGGAATCGGTAAATAACATCTTTCTTCCCTTTATAGTAATGCAATAAATTTTCTTCAAAAATTGGAATTCACATCCAACATATTTCTTTGCATAGCATGTTATCCAAAACTACAATGACAGTTAGATGACCAGCAATGATCAGTTGCTGTCAAACCTTTAGTTTATGGCTGAGGAATTAAATCGGAGATTTAAAGCATTTTCCACAACTTCCAAAGTAAGCAGAAAAGTTACTCTGTGAGAGTATATGAAGTAGATTTTTATTATATTTGTCACAAAGTAAATCCAATACAGTTGCTGTGGAGCAAAGCAATGTGGACAAGGCATTTTGTCAGAGTCTGGTTTGGTAAACTTAACACAACATAAAATGCACCTGTATTTATAGCTTTGACCAGCCAAGGTCAAGGAACATTCATAGAAACCAATTAGGATCGGGGATGTCACACTTTGTTTATTTAAAAGGACAGACGCATAAGCAAGGTTGGGAAAGGATTCTGTTGACAATGGGATTGTGAAATATAATTGCTAGCCCACCAGGTGCAGCCAAGTGTAGCAGAAATACATTAGCTTAAAAGGGTTGTACAGAATGTGAGGGGTGTTGTGGTTGTTATTATGACTACAAGCACTTCCATTCTTTTTCTCAAATTTGAAATGGAAAAAGGGGGTGCATGTGACAAGCAGGCATAGACTAAAAAAAAGTTTTAATAAATTGAATTTTGCATTTTACTGTATTTAAACTTTTCTGCTTAGCCTGTTCAAAAGTTTCCCATTAGAATCAACTATAATGCAAAATTCTGCTAACGGGATGGATGGCTGGAGTCTGTTGGAAGAGGTCACTGCTACTACTCCCAGGATCAACTATAATGACAAAATTCTTTCAACGGGAAACTTCCAAACAGGCTAAGCAGAAATAAATTTGACAGCAGCAGCCTCCTATCCCTCCTTTGGCAAAGTCCGGATTTTTTTCTTTTTTGCATACATGTGCATTTCCATTTGACCCAAGGTCATTGACATGCATTTTGGTTGAGAAGACCTATGTTGGGAAAAATCCAGGTAGAGTGGATCTTTTTGTTTTCAGAAATCTCAAATGCTAATCCTACGAAGGGAATGCAGGATGGAAGAAAAGCTTTTTAATGAAAATAAAAAGTGGCTTTTATTCATATTTATTTAAATTGAATAGACACGAAATTTTCATTTGCGGTATTGGAATAAATACGGGAGAAGGTGTACTCTTTGAAAGGTGTTCGAGAAATTTTTGATTTTGTTGTTAGTGTTTGTTTGAAGAGGTCGCTGCTACTCTCAAAAATCAGCAGCCTTGCTCGTATCTGCGTTTCATAGACAATAATTTATCACTGCTGCTGATTGAAACAATGAGTCGCTAACTTTTTTGGTCCTATATTTTCTATTTTAGATACGACTCGGACGGTCGCGTTCGTCAGACCCGAGACATCCGGTTCACGTACAACTCGAAATCCCAGCTGATGCACGCTGTGCAACCCGACGGGTTCCGTCGCTGGTACATCTACGACCACAGAGACCGACTCGCAGCCTGGCTCGACGACCGCGGGAACAGAACCCAGTTCCTCTACGGCGACCCAACCCACCCGCATCGCGTCACCCACATTTTCTACCCGGTCACGAAGCAAACCCTGTTACTGGTCTACAACCACCTGGGTCACCTGATTTCCCTCGACGACGCAGGCCGGAAGTACGTGGTTGCCACGGACCAAGTCGGGTCGCCGTTGGCATTGTTCGACACCCGCGGCGGCGTCGCCAAGGAAATCGTGAGGGCGCCGTTTGGACGCGTCGCTGAGGACACGAACCCGGGGATCCACGTGCCGCTCGATTTCCACGGGGGGATCCGGGATCCTCTCACCCAGCTCGTCCACTTTCCAGAGGGCGTTTATGACCCGTTTTCGCGCCAGTGGCTGAACCCGAGGTGGACGGATGTGCTGCACTTGTTGCCCCTGCCTGCTGCTCTGTTCCCGTACCGATTCAAGAATAATGACCCTGTGAACCCGGGGAACCCTGGGGGCGCTCCATCTCTTATGGGTAATTATAGAGCGTCACACTTGCAGGGAACGGAGAATTTAAGCGCGTCCCAAAATTACCATTCATGAAATTAATAACGCCCACAAAAAAGTGCTTAAAAAAAGAGCACCAAAACTTTCACGGCAGAAGTAAAATAAAAGCGCTCAACAAATGACCAACTTCCGAAAGAGCGGTAACCTAGAAAAAGGCAACCAAAATAGCGCTTAACAAAAATCCATGTACCTTATCTACGCAAATTTTTATTCCTTTTTTAACGTATGAAAAAGAAGAGCTATAGATGTCAGAGTGCTGGCAAAAATGACGCTTACCGAATAAGCGAGTACCATTTTAGCGCATGCAAAATCGAGCGTTCGCCGAAATGTCAAGACAGCAATGCATCTCACAATAGTGCTTTTTAATACAATAGTCTCCACCAGATAGCAATAAAAAAAAACTCTTGCTAAAGAATGCTGCCAGATATCCGTGAAAATCAGCGCAAAATTTTGCTGAAGAAGCATGACAATGTGATATTTTTATTATTTGTCATTGAAGATAATGCAGTTCAATTTAGTTAGGTGTCAATATGGGCATTTTCATGAATAGAATGGCGTGTTTAACCAGCAAATAGACATTTAAAATTTTGAAAATTGATGCCTTTCCGCATTTAGTTTTCTGCTTTTACTGCCTCAAGTTATTGCATTTATATTGTCTCTTCTTCGCGTTGTTTTGAAANGGTCGTGTTCGTCAGACCCGAGACATCCGGTTCACGTACAACTCGAAATCCCAGCTGATGCACGCTGTGCAACCCGACGGGTTCCGTCGCTGGTACATCTACGACCACAGAGACCGACTCGCAGCCTGGCTCGACGACCGCGGGAACAGAACCCAGTTCCTCTACGGCGACCCAACCCACCCGCATCGCGTCACCCACATTTTCTACCCGGTCACGAAGCAAACCCTGTTACTGGTCTACAACCACCTGGGTCACCTGATTTCCCTCGACGACGCAGGCCGGAAGTACGTGGTTGCCACGGACCAAGTCGGGTCGCCGTTGGCATTGTTCGACACGCGCGGCGGCGTCGCCAAGGAAATCGTGAGGGCGCCGTTTGGACGCGTCGCTGAGGACACGAACCCGGGGATCCACGTGCCGCTCGATTTCCACGGGGGGATCCGGGATCCTCTCACCCAGCTCGTCCACTTTCCAGAGGGCGTTTATGACCCGTTTTCGCGCCAGTGGCTGAACCCGAGGTGGACGGATGTGCTGCACTTGTTGCCCCTGCCTGCTGCTCTGTTCCCGTACCGATTCAAGAATAATGACCCTGTGAACCCGGGGAACCCTGGGGGCGCTCCATCTCTTATGGGTAATTATAGAGCGTCACACTTGCAGGGAACGGAGAATTTAAGCGCGTCCCAAAATTACCATTCATGAAATTAATAACGCCCACAAAAAAGTGCTTAAAAAAAGAGCACCGAAACTTTCACGGCAGTAGTAAAATAAAAGCGCTCAACAAATGACCAACTTCCGAAAGAGCGGTAACCTAGAAAAAGGCAACCAAAATAGCGCTTAACAAAAATCCATGTACCTTATCTACGCAAATTTTTATTCCTTTTTTAACGTATGAAAAAGAAGAGCTATAGATGTCAGAGTGCTGGCAAAAATGACGCTTACCGAATAAGCGAGTACCATTTTAGCGCATGCAAAATCGAGCGTTCGCCGAAATGTCAAGACAGCAATGCATCTCACAATAGTGCTTTTTAATACAATAGTCTCCACCAGATAGCAATAAAAAAAAACTCTTGCTAAAGAATGCTGCCAGATATCCGTGAAAATCAGCGCAAAATTTTGCTGAAGAAGCATGACAATGTGATATTTTTATTATTTGTCATTGAAGATAATGCAGTTCAATTTAGTTAGGTGTCAATATGGGCATTTTCATGAATAGAATGGCGTGTTTAACCAGCAAATAGACATTTAAAATTTTGAAAATTGATGCCTTTCCGCATTTAGTTTTCTGCTTTTACTGCCTCAAGTTATTGCATTTATATTGTCTCTTCTTCGCGTTGTTTTGAAAATCAGCGTTATTTGGCACGTTCATTTGTTCCCTTATTTCGAAGAATATGAGGATTTTGTGACGCACCATGTGTTAATTGTGTCCTCGACGCGTGACTCCATTGATAATCATCTAGTTCTGATCAATCTTTTCAGGACTAGAAGACTGGATTAAGTACTTCGGATACAATAGAATATGAGGATTTTGTGACGCACCATGTGTTAATTGTGTCCTCGACGCGTGACTCCATTGATAATCATCTAGTTCTGATCAATCTTTTCAGGACTAGAAGACTGGATTAAGTACTTCGGATACAATTGGGAGAACTTGCTTGCCAAAGAATATCTGCAACACTCGTGGCAAAAGTCGTTGACAGCTGTTCCCAAACTTCCTGATTGGATTCTACCGAACTTCGAGGTACGTGGAGAGGGAAAATCACGGATCTCGACATTTATTCCCGTGAATGGGTCATCTTTTAAAAGTGCTTGAAATTGAAATGTGGAGAAAGCTTTTTTTTAAATAAAATTTAAAACTGTGATTGATAGATAGAAAATTCTATCTGAATTTTTCGGTCAAGTGGATGAATGAGTTAGAGAAACAGAGGTACTCTGTTCGTGCTTTTCCAAGTCTCAGAAAGAACAAAAATAAATTTAAATTATTTGCTGGTTATTTTGTTTTCGTCCCACTGAATATGACTGCCGACATTCGACGTGGGGATTTCATACGAGGATATTCAGAATTCATATATTATTGCAGAAATCAGAATTCCAGCATTTCTCCCTATATTAATAATATTTATTTCTTTTGCGATGCAGGTTGGATCAGGTTTGGATTGCTTCATTCGCACCATCGACGCGAATCTGCGAACTCTGGACTTTTCGCCAGTGTCGAGCATCCGCGCATCCAGTCCTTTGTTTTGGCCTGCAAAATTGCCGTCGTTGGCACACAAATCGCCGCCTTTCGGTCGCGGAATAACGGTGTCGAACGAAGCCGGAAGAGCCGTGATTGCTGACGTTAGGAGTGCCAATGCCATTTTGCGTGACGTCGTCACTTCCGTGCTCAACAATTCGCACTTCCTCGATTTTCACGTCAATGCTGGACCCGTGGAGAGGTTTTATTTCGTCAAAACGAATGTCGCCAGACTCGATGACGTGAACCTTGTTGAAGCTGCGTAATAGCCTCAGAAGTGACAATTACGCCTTTTCTGGTTTTGGCCCAGCCTTCACTGACACTGTTTAAGGCTCCGCCTTTAGCAGTAGGCAATGCCTCTTAGGCACCATCAAGAGAAGAGTTCCATCTTGAAAGAGCTGAATAAGGTAATTGCTGTCCTTATACCACGACGGATATTGTTACAGAATAACAATATCCAGTAATGAAAAAAATGAACAATCTAAACTGCAAAAAGAAACAATAATATCCTATCATCATCCATTAAAAGGGTATACAGTACATAACCCAGTATACCATGTAAACTAGAATAATATCCAATAATCGAATCCTTGAGTTTTGCGAAGAAACTTTTTTGTTTCAACATTGGTATGATTCAGATGAAGAAACATTGGTATTGCACATTAAAAAACTATGAAAACTTTAATTCATGTCGAGGAAAGGAGAAATTTCATTTCATGAACAAAAAATCTCCTGCGGCAACATATTGTGACTAAATAAATAATTTATTGAGCTAACTTAGTTGAGAAATTGAAACAGTTACGTACAGTTGCTGGTGATCGAAGAAAAAATAGGGGATTTCATAAATTGCTAATATTTGCCTTTTAAAAAATGTTCAGCAGTAACTTCGGTCTAAAATTTGAGTTAGAGAAACAATCATTTTTTCTGGGGAAAAAAGAAAGAAAGAATTGGAGGACATTCTAATTATGGATGTTCTGGGCCTAAAATTGTTTTTTAAATGATTTGATATGATGCTGAACTTGAAGTCAATGGTTTATTTTCCCAATCATTTTTTCACTTCTTCTCAAAATACATCAAGTTTCATTTCTATTGTTTTCCTCTTTCCTGTGTCAATAAAATAATAACCCCTAAGACATACAGAAAATTTGAGTCACTGTATATGGAGGTTCTTGGGGGGAAGCCTTTCAGTTAGGAACGTTTTCAATGCATTGGTTCTGAGGGAATTCAGACAAGTTCTTGAAAAAAATGACTTAGGAAGATAATTGACTTGGAGATATGTTTGTTCACAAGGTTCAACTGAAATACCTAATTTAAATTCAGAGTTGGCAACTTGAAGTTCAGTATGGATCTTGATTGATATTCAAGCTTTATTTGCTGCTCTTCAGCATCATCATGGCAACTCCAAACTCAACTTGGAACAACTTCGACGCATTATCGGAGTCTTCACTGTTAATGCGGAAAAGACCAAAACCGGGTCGGAAGTGACTGTGACAAATTCCGAGGCGGAAATCGTCATCCGTTACGGAGAATCCGTGGTGCAAGAGAAGAGTTCCATCTTGAAAGAGCTGAACAAGGTAATTGTTGTCCTTATACCACGACGTATATTGTTACAGAATAGCAATATCCAGTAACGAAAAAATGAACAATCTCAAACTGCAAAAAGAAACAATAATATCCAATCAATCCTCCATTAGAAGTTTATATACATTACACAACCCAATATGCAGTACCATGTAAACTAGAATAATATTGAATAATCGAATCCTTGAGTTTCGCGAAGAAAGTTTTTTGTTTCAACATTGGTATGATTCAGATGAAGAAACATTGGTATTGCACATTTTAAAAAACTGTGAAATTTTTAATTCATTTTGAGGAAAGGAGAAATTTCATTTCACGACCAAAAAATTGCCTGCGGCAACATAATGCGAGTAAATATATAATTTATTGAGCTAATATAATTAGGAAATTGACACAGTTACGTACAGCTGCTGGTGATCGAAGAAAAAATAGGGGATTTCATAAATTGCTAATGTTTTCCTTTTAAAAGATGTTCAGCAGTAACTGCCGTCTAAAAATTTGAGTAAGGGAAACAATCATTTTTTCTGGGGAAAAAAGGAAGAAAAAATTGGAGGACATTGTAAACATGGATATTCTGGGCCTAAAATTGTTTTTTAAATGATTTGATATGATGCTGAACTTGAAGTCAATGGTTTATTTTCCCAATCATTTTTTTTCACTTCTTCTCAAAATACATCAAGTTTCATTTCTATTGTTTTCCTCTTTCCTGTGTCAATAAAATAATAACCCAAAGACATACAGAAAATTTGAGTCACTGTATATGGAGGTTCTTGGGGGGAAGCCTTTCAGTTAGGGACGTTTTCAATGCATTGGTTCTGCGGGAATTCAGACAAGGTCTTGAAAAAAATGACTTAGGAAGATAATTGACTTGGAGATATGTTTTTTCACAAGGTTCAACTGAAATACCTAATTTAAATTCAGAGTTGGCAACTTGAAGTTCAGTATGGATCTTGATTGATATTCAAGCTTTATTTGCTGCTCTTCAGCATCATCATGGCAACTCCAAACTCATTCTGGAGATTCAGAAGGAGAAAATAATAATTCACTATACGGGTATTGAAAGAAAACGCATCACATACAAATACATGAGTTGCCAACCCTTTTGTTTGGACGACAAAAATAAAATTAACCCAAATAAAAATAACAGCACGAGGCAACCACTCATCACAAATTAGTTGATCACAAGGTGTTCAGCCAGTTCCCAGATAATTTTCAATCACTCAAACAATTTAGTGAGAATTTTTTAGGAGAAATCAGTAAGGATTTTTTTTTAATCCTCCACCATGTACTTGAAGGGTTCAACAGCAGGGCGTTCCTCTGAAAGTCACTCATTAAATTAGTTACTTTTTCTCGAGTGCTTCCCAGCAGCAGAAGAATTCTCGCTAATTTGTGCAATTTTCCAAAGATGGCTGTGGAAAAGGCGTGGGAGCGGGAAGCAGACATGGCCGTAGCAGGTGCCTACTCATTGCAGGACTGGAGCCAGAACGAACTTGCTCAGTTGCTCAAGAGAGGCAAAGTAAACGGGTACCACGCGAACCAGATCCACAGCGTTTACGAGTACCCGGACCTGGTGGACGACCCAGCAAACGTCCTCTTTGTCAAATCTACGAAAAATAGAAGAACGAGGAGGAAAATCCGGAAATACCAACCAGGGTTCGGCCAGTTTTCCTACAGATGATTCGAACAAGATTTCCTGAGTCTCATACAACGAGAGTCCGTGATATAAAAAAAAAACGAAAAAAATCGCTTTCGGCCCGCACAAAAAAAAAAGTTATTCATGTGTAAGGAAGGAACAAGCCATCGAATGACAGGCTGTTTTCTTTTCTATTTTTAGTTTTGACGGCGATTTTTTTTATTTATTTTATAGGGAAGAAATTTGTTTTCATTTGTTGCTTAGCACTTTCTTTATTTTCCGGGAATCGTCGAGCTTTTGCGCGCCGAATTCGGTGATCTGTTTGTCATTTATTCTCCCAGCAGAAATGTGGGCCGAAGCCGTTGTTGACATTCCAGTGCAATTTTTTAATCTTCTAAACGAGATGTTTTCGTTGTGATTTTCAGCTTTGATTTGGATTCAAAGTTTTCATAATTTGGACGGAAAACTCTCGCTTTAAGCGCTGACTCATTTTTTGTATACTCTATAGCGAAGGTTTTACTGCATATCTCTTTTTAGTCGTGTACTTCACAAAAAATTGAAACGAAAAATTTTCTTTGCCCTTGAGACCCTGTTCATGCTTCCGCCCCGAATTTTTTTTTTTAAAGGGAACAGTTGTTGGTGTGTATTTTTCTCGAGGGTTGTTAGATCTTGTTTTCGGCCCTTTAGTCGTGCGTGAAACGTCGATAATCGAAGCGGAATTTTTAATCGAGTAATTTCCGGATTTGGTGGCTGTGGAATTGAATGGATTTTATTTGTGCGTGTGTGTGTGGGTGTGTGTGAGCAAAGTTCGGAAATTTTTCCCGAAAGGCAATCCAAGTTGGTCTGATGGTCGACCCGACGGGGTCGTGTTTTTTCTAGTCCGATTGTTTGCGATGAATCTCTGTGGCTTTTTTTCCATTGCGAGTGAATGATGACATGCGATGTAAATCTTTATTCCTCCCTGGATTTTCGTCCAAATATACTCACTGAAATCCAGGGCTTTTTTTTTTTTTGGAGAATGTGGTGAAATGAGGCCCTGTTTTGAAGAAAACATCTTCCCTGGAATTTTTTTTTGTCTGATGCTGGTAAACGTCGGTCATTCGCAGTCTTTTTGCTGCATTCGAGATCGATTCGAGCGTGTCCCTTATTCTTCGATGGATAGTTTTTAAACTTAATCCGGCGTTTAGGAATTGTGAGAAATTCCGATGATGTGAAAGTAACATGCGTTTTGACCAACGAACTTTTGTCCGATCATTTCATCGTATAAAAGAATAAGAAACAAATATATGCGGGTAAATGAGCTTTTGTGCCAACCTGCTACTGCTGGGAACACTTTTGCGTGTGGTATGAATATATGAATACTTCGGAACGGCAAACATTCTAGTGGCAAGTATCGATTGAAACATTCGATTAGAAGTTACATTGCACAATATTATCATTAAAGAAAATTAGGCTCTGCAAAGGGTTCTGCTAAATATTTTTGAATTTTCGTAATATTCTGTCACGCCGAAACAAAAAAGATATGCTTTTCAAGAAGGAACAGTTTTCGTATTATCTTTGCATTTGTGGTGTTCGAAGAAAATTCTGTCGCCTAGTCTAAGTCCTGTTAAGATAGAAATGTGCCAAAAAAATAAAGAAACGGGTTAATGAACAGTGCTACACTTATTCTCACATGAAAAGTATTCTGCAGGCTTTTGTTATTTTGGAATACGTGAATCTTGAATATTTCCCTGAAAAAGTCGCTTAAGTCAAGAATTTCATTAAGTAAAGCGGATTTTATGACTGATTCGGTGAATACTAAACTCAAGCTGTGAATTCTAACAACAGATGTACGAGTAACTTCATTGCCCGTAATTTTTTTCGTACTGATACGATATAAGGAGTAAATTTCACAGATTTCAATAACGCCAGGTAAGACATAATCGTTCATTAAAGAAAGTGCCTCTCAGCTGAGAACAGGGAAATTTATTGCATATAATGGCGTGTTACATTTTTAATTGCTAATTTTCCTATTGAATAGAATACAGGTGGGGTCAACCTACTGATATGAAGGACAGCTAAACTATTCTATTTGTATTCGATTGCACTTGAGACTTGGGGTCGATTCACATAAAATATTGAATGCGTCTAAAATAAAGTTGGTATCACATTATGCAGTGAATTTTGAGTTTATTTTGTTCAGTCGTACTTGGACGTAATCAAAATGTGTTGGATTTCGAGCAAGAAAACAGAAAACTAATATACACATGCTATTTATAAATTGCCTTCACTCAATCACGCTGTTTATTAGATAACCGAGGCGAGATGAAAACATTAGGAAGTTATTCGCCAAGATCGACCTGCCTTTGACCTTCCAGCGACTCCTGAATAAAAATAAAAGCTTTACAATTTAATCTTGGTCAAAGACTGTAATCTTATTGCCGCTCTAGAAATGGAAATGCAGAAAAGTCGTTCCGGCCAGCTTTTCTGCACATCAAAGGATTCTGCGTGGAAGAACTTTTTCAAAAGCCGGGAAAACTTTCGACGAAGAAGGAGTTACGTACTGATGGAAAAGAAAAATGCTGATCTTCGTCAAGTCCAATTATCTCATGATTATTTCTCACGATCAAAGAAGAAAATACTGCAGTTTTTTATTACCATTTATGTCCTGCGCCATTGCAAATTTTACTCACCCCTTCGCTTATTCGCCGTCTGGTTGCTTCAATTTTAGCGTTGCAAGTTTTGCTTAAATTTTCGCTTGCGTTTGAGGTCAGATGCGCTCATTTGCGGGCGGAACAATGTTTAACATGTTCACAAAGTTCGGATGAAATAAAGTTCAAGAGATAAAAATTGTCGAAAAAATCTTTTCTCAAATCGCCGAATATATAACCTCAGCCGTTTAATCGAAAAATAAAATAATGCTTTGCTTGAAATCCCGATTTCTCGCTGATTCTGAAAATAATCCTGATCATTGGCCATCATGTTATTCTTTATACATTTACTTAAAGCAGTGTGCGTCCGGAAAATTCGGAAAAAGGTAATTTCTCCTCAGAGGTTTTACGGATTTACGCATTCCACCCCGGCATTATTAATAAATAAACAATGAAGTCTTGTGAAAAATCTGTCGAAATTTCAAATCAAAATGAGGTAAGAGCTAATTTCATAATTTAATGTCATGAATCAAGTGATGATTTCAGAATTTTTGACTGAGGATTTTATTTATTTATTCCAATTCACCAGAGAAATATTAATGACCAGTTCACAAACGCGCAATTATATCGCTACAATTTTTGCCGTTTCCACGATTTTTTCCTAAGAATTCTCTTTTTCAGCTGCAGTTCGGAAAATCCACGTCGCGATTATCGCAATTCTCAATATTTCCCTTATTTCCCTTCCTCTGTAGTATGCACGAGAAAATGGCAAAAAAAAAGTTTAATGTTGGGCAGTAAAATCGGAAGAAAGCGGCTGCAATGATTGTAATGCTTGAAATTTCGCAGTGAAATGCGCTGCTCAGCGCAGAAATCCATATGCCATCCGAATAAATTGCCGCTGCTTGCATGATTTTGGCGAGGAATTCGCTCCAGCAGCAGGTTCGAGGTAGAAATTCTTCCTGCTGTGGGCATGAAATCGTCCGACAAGCCCGTAAACCGGATGCCGTCACAGGCATTCGCGGCGAATTTCAGAAAATTTCCGCCGCTGGGCGATGAAATCGTGCTGCCAGCTGTTCAAATGAAAGAGGATGTTGAGAAATTCTGCGTCCATTTCACTGGTCATACGAAAAAATATTCCGGAATCCACTTCAGACGGACGGCTACTCGAAATTTTTGCGAGGAATTAGCCTCCGCAGAGGATTTAATGCCGGAATTTTTGCAATTCGGCGCGTCTGACCATTTGCGAATCCGGCTTTTTATTGCATTTATCCTTGAGAAAAGAGACCCTAAAAAACGACAGATTCGTTCAGACAGCAGTTGGATTGATTATAAACTCAGAAATGGACCTACGACATGCGCTTTGATGAAGAAATCGTACGGAAATCTGTTGAAATTCGTGATTTTCTTGAAATTTTACCAGCAAAAATGCTTCCCCCACGAATTTCAGACAAAATTTCAAACAGTTTGGCGAAAAAAATTTTTGGGCTGCTGCAGAGAATGTAATCTAGAAAATGTTGTGAACATTGTTTTCCCTACTGTAAATAAAAACCTTTGAAGAATGCTCAACCAAAGTTATGAAAAATAATTCCAATGCATGCAAAATTTCACTGCGCTGACGTTTTTACAGATATGTTTTTGACGGATATATCGATTCGTCAAATGCTTGCCTTTTTCGATTCCAGAAAACGATTCGTTGAATCGAAAACCTGGACTTTATTTCAGAACCAATATCGATCTTGAACGAACAATTTCTGAAAGTTTAAAATTGAAGAACTCACACGGAAATCATCAAAAGCTTATTGCGGATTTTTTTTAGGAAACCCTGTTTCTTATTCGATTAACATAGACAAATTTTCAGATTGTGTTTCTTGGCTTCAGCTGTCATTCTGTTCTATTTTCTTCAATTACTTAAATTTTGACGAATTTTTAGTTGAGCGTCCATTTCACTGGTCATACGAAAAAATATTCCGGAATCCACTTCAGACGGACGGCTACTCGAAATTTTTGCGAGGAATTAGCCTCCGCAGAGGATTTAATGCCGGAATTTTTGCAATTCGGCGCTGAAATCGTCTGACCATGTGCGAATCCGACTTTTTATTGCATTTATCCTTGAGAAAAGAGACCCTAACAAACGACAGATTCGTTCAGACAGCAGTTGGATTGAATATAAACTCAGAAATGGACCTACGACATGCGCTTTGATTAAGAAATCGTACGGAAATATGTTGAAATTCGTGATTTTCTTGAAATTTTACCAGCAAAAATGCTTCCCCCACGAATTTAAGACAAAATTTCAAACAGTTTGGCGAAAAAAAATTTTTGGGCTGCTGCAGAGAATGTAATTTCGAAAATGTTGTGAACATTGTTTTCCCTACTGTAAATAAAAACCTTTGAAGAATGCTCAACCAAAGTCATGAAAAATAATTCCAATGCATGCAAAATTTCACTGCGCTGACGTTTTTACAGATATGTTTTTGACGGATATATCGATTCGTCAAATGCTTGCCTTTTCCGATTCCAGCAAAAGATTCGTTGAATCGGAAACCTGGAATTAATTTCAGAACCAATATCGATCTTGAACAAAAAATTTCTGAAAGTTTAAAATTGAAGAACTCACACGGGAATCATCAAAAGCTTATTGTGGATAAAAAAAATCCTTTGGGACAAAGAATAAGCTAATTGTATCTGTTTAAAAGTCTAACACAAAGAACCGAAGTCGACAGTAAGACAAGATAAAAGAAGTTAATGAATTTAAAACTGCTTAAAAATCAACAATTTAAAGTTATACAAATGTGTCTGTCAACAATTCAGCGGAAATTCGTTGAACTTCAAACACCATGTTGGGTTTCCATTGCGCAGAAGAAGACTAATGATGTTCATTTCTGACCTGCTGTTTATGCATTCAGAACCTCAATTGCTCCTTAAAGTCATCATTCTTCTGTGCTCTATGCGTATTGTAGCCTAGTCAGAGCTTCTTATTTTCCACTTTATGCATTATTCTTCTGAAAATGTATATTCCGCAGCTTCTCATCTGTGCTACTCATTATATTCAGTCTTCTCGCGGATCAGCGAGACAAAGAATGCGAGGAACACTGTGGAACAGTTTGAACAGACGACCTTCGCACCTTCAAGTGCGACCTTTTCAGTTCGCACTGAGGAGCAACTGTCGAAGCGACATGCAAATGAAAAAACCAGAGCTTCTCCCGCGCCACGAAAACACTCGAAGACTAAATCCCAAGAAAAAGAAGAAAACATGTGGTACATACAGAATCCCCCAGAAAAGAAAAACAAGACAAAACAATGCTTCTCGTTGCTCTGGGAGTAGAAAAGACACGCGTCGACAGCAGGTCCTTGAGAGTACGGAATGCCAGCAGCTCTACTTCTTCTTATTGTTATTCTAATAAAGGCCTCTTTTCGTTTAACAGTCCAGTACAGGGTGGCTACAACGTTTAGAACCCCAGCCAGTCTCCAAAAGTTGGCCACGAGGCGCCGCGGAGCTTTGAACTTTACATAAGGGCTCCGCAAATGATTCAGAAAAATATTCAAAGCAAAGTTGTCCGTTATTTAGAATTGTAAGTTAGATCTGCCACAAACAAAACACGCAAGAAAT